TTGGAGGCAATTGCTAGCAGGTCCGGTTGGAGGCAATTGCTAGTAGGTCCGGTTGGATGCTTTCCCAAGGCTCTGTCCGCTTTCTCGCCTCCAAGAGCTGCGCCTTCCATCGTGCACGACAAGTCTGCCTACGTTGTAAGTCTGTGCTTCATTTAAATTCTATCCAACTGGACAAGGCAAGAAATCCGTGCGATGAACGTGTAAGTGTAGGCCAGCGCGACCTAAACAACCTCAATCTTTGGGCTTCTCTTCTGAGCTGTAGGACTTGGCAAAGCCGAAAACCCCCCTCCAACACGCTGATCGTTTGGACAGGGGGAGTAGAAAGTGCAGCTTCTCTGATCAAGATCAGTTGAAAAGGTGTTCTAATCCATGGTTTTCTGCTAACTGGTGCCTATATAATATTCGGTAGTCGCGTCATCCTGTGTCCATTCGTCCGTTCGGCCCTTCATCCGGTCGCCCCGTCCTGGTAAAGGTAGAAGAGCCAGCAATACAGCGAGCTGAAAACATGGACATTGAGCAGCTGATCCTCGGGAGAAAGCGACAGAGAGATTCCAGGCTTGTCAATTGAAGGTCCTCAGAATAGTCAAAGGAGTTGTTCATGCAGGTAAAGAAGTCGCGAGTTGGCGTTCCATCGACCTGCCCGAAAAATCCCACAAGTGTTGAGCGAAGCCGAGAGCAAAACCTGCCCGAGCCTCTGTGACATTGCAAGCAGCAGAAGTTGACACGATCCTGACCTGAGATTAAGCCAAAACATGGCAGACTTGGAACAGCTTGCAATAGCTTGCAGCTTGCACGTGGTTTCACATGCTTTCACATCTGTAACCAAGGCATGGGCCCCAAACAGGGTGGTTGATGTTGTCTTTCGTGTCTCCAGTGAGGCCCCTGTCAAGAGCCTTGAGAATTGAGCCTGTCCAACCGGGCACGACCAAATGGCCGCATCACACTTGGCACTTGCATTGGCACATCAGCCCCCCCCCCCAAAAAAAAAACTTGCCATGTCAAAGGTCGCAAAATGCGCCTCCATAGGGCGTATATGCTGATCTTTGTCCAGGACCTGTGGTAAGGGCTACACGCCATTGAAAATCTGCGACACTCCACGCCCTCTCAGCACCCAGACATTGGGAAATCTCTGGACAGCTGCCAGAAGATTGGAGAGCGCTGCCTCACAAGCTAGCGAAATAACAACCAAGGTCATGAAGGCCCGAGAAGCCAAAAAAAGAAAGGAAAGTCAAGCTTTAACGTCACATATAATGGTAAACATGGTCGAAATACAAATATTTGTTCAAAAAGAGAAAGTTCACGAACAAAGTTGGCACCGCTTCTTATCTGAGAGCTGCCGAGTTGCCGTTTTTAGGCTCACACTCGCCGAGTCCTTGCTGCAGAAAGCAAAATGCAAGTATGAAGAGGTGAAGCGGATAAGCTCAACCAAAACCGTGCTCAGACGATGGCGCTCGTAAACCAAGAGACCAGGTTCGGTATATTCTTCACCTAGGCACAAGAGGTTAGCAGCTTTCGAAAGCTTACTCCATATGCAAGGCCGAGAGCATCCCACTTGTTGGTGTCGTGTGTTTACTGGGGCAACGGCTAGCAAATCGGAATTCAGCCTTGGCAGCACTCTGTGACTTCTCACAGGACGCACGCGCCGGAACAAACGCACGTTGACATGCTCGGACTAGACAGTCCCAGGTAAGGCACTGGCAATTGAGAAAGAACTGGTAAGAAATAAACCACCTGGATGAACTGAAATATTTTTTGGATGGATTGCGTAAGTCTCAAAAAGGAAGCTGCAAAATATGCCAAATGGACCGCCGCTGTCTTTTGCAAACTATCTGGGGAGTGCTAGGCCTATATATAACATAATTCTCTCTTTGCCAAACAGTACATGTACATAATTATGTGTCCATACAAAGGCA